GAAAAAGCCCTAGTATGTGAAGAGGTAGAATTCCTCTTGAAGTGACTAAAATAGATTAAAAGAAAGAGCATTGCGAGGGCCAGCCCCGTGACCGAGTGGTTAAGTTCGTGTGTTCCACTGCAGTGGCCCAGGGTTTTGCCGGTTTGAATCCTTGGCATCGACGTGGCACCGCTCATCAGGCCACACTGAGGCAGCGTCCCACATGCCACAACTGGAAGGACCCATAACTAAAAAATACACAACTGTGTACCGGGGGGCTTTGGGGAGAAAAAGGAAAAATAAAATCTCAAAAGAAAGAAAGAAAGAGCATTGCCTTTGTTTCATGTGAGATTTGACACGTAAATTAATTTTGTGTCTGTAGATCATCTTCCATTCTAATCAGTGCATTGCTAATTCTCTAGTGGTTTAAAAGACCAATCCTTAGGGCCGGCCCTGTGGCCTAGTGGTTAAGTTCCATGAGCTCTGCTTTGGTGGCCCAGGTTTGGTTCCTGGACGTGGACCTACATCACTTGTTAGCAGCCATGCTGTGGTGGCGACCCACATAGAAAATAGAGGACGATCGGCACAGATGTTAGCTCAGGGTGACTCTTCCTCAGCAAAAAAAAAAAAGACAACCAACTATTAGAATGGTAACTTTTATTACATTTTTTTCTAATCAATGCAGTGTTGACATATTGAAATGTAAACTTTATATTCCTTGTTATATTTCAAGGACTTAAGTTTGGTTGGAATGAAGTTAGATATACTAGTCGTATGGGTAATTGCCTCAGTTAATTACGGTTTAGTGCCAGTAAGGCCACTGTCACCATGGCAGGTGTTATTTAACTTTGTTATCTTAGCTAAATTTACTTTGTACAGCTTGTCCATAAATTCCTGGGACGGGGCCTTACTTAGGAAGTATGTTTAGTTCAAATCTACTCATTAGATACAGATAATAGAGAAAATAGTGACTTCTCTATGGGAGGAAGTTCAGCACATTTTTGAGATCTACTGATTCTTGATTATTTATACATAGTTTCACCTAAATGTAGTACTTTCAGAAGATATTTAATGATTGCAAAAGTTTTTGTACTTGTGCCCTTTACATCACAGGACTTGGTTAGTTAACCAGCTCATGAGTACCTATGGCTTGGCCCCCAGCTTTTAGTGACAGAGACTTTCTACTGAGGTCTTGCCACAGGAGTGCATCCCCTCCTCTAGAATTTCTCTTTTTTGCCTGAGATTATTCAGAAGCTCCACTCTTTTCTCTTTCATCAGGTCAGTCAACATGGTCTCTTCTATGGGTTTTACTAAACACAGGGCTGGTCCACATTCCATGCCACTAGAATCCCTGAGCCAAAGTTTTTGAAAGCTTGGCTACCTGACTGAAAACCGAGGGGAGGGTAATGATACAGGGAAAATACACACAAATCCGTGTTCCAGAAACCAGCCCGAAGAGGAAATACAGAAAGTGCCAAATGTCAGTAGAAGCGTAGTTACTTGGAGTGCACTTGAAGTGATTTGAAAAAAAAACTTCATGAGATGAGACTTAAACTGAGCCACGAGTCTAGGGTATGTGAGGTGTGTTTGGGAGTGGGTGTTTGTGTGCTGGGAAGGAGTTGAGAGTTTATACTATTGCAGAAGAGCTTCAGAAAGAGAGCTTGTTATTAGAAAGATTATTCTGGTAACAGTGAGCTAGATGGACTTAGAAAGGGAATGGGCCTAGGAGGCTATTGCAGTGGTTCTGACCTGAACTGAGAAAGGGTTGATGACAGTTGGAATGGGAAGAAAAGAATTAATTGGACAGAAACCACTAAAGAGAATCTATGGGAACAGGGCAGAATTCAAGACGATTCTGAGTTTCTGTGCTGGGGGCGGGGGTGTTACTAAGTGTCTTTAATGGAAACTGGAGAAGTCAGGATAGGAGTTTGTTGTGAGAAGAAGATAAGAGCTTTAATGTAGGATGTGATAAGCTCTTGGAGCCCTGAAATGAGGTCAGATTAGTAGATATAGGGTTCATCATATCATCAGTCTTCAGGATCTTGCTCAAGACTAGTTGTTCTTTTTCTGTTGACTGTTGCGAGGAAGATAGTGATGTAGAAAGATGCTGAGGAGAGGGGCTGGCCCCGTGGCGCGCTCCCCTGCGGCGGCCCAGGGTTTCGCTGGTTTGGATCCTGGGCGCGGACATGGCACTGCTTGTCAGGTCACGTTAAGGCGGCATCCCACGTGCCACAACTAGAAGGACCTGCAGTTAAGATATACAACTATGTACCCGGGGGGATTTGGGGAGACAAAGTAGGAAAAAAAAAAAATTGGCCGCAGTTGTTAGTTCAATTGCCAATCTTTAATTAAAAAAAAAAAGGAAAGATGCTGAGGAGAAAAGAGGAAATGACTATGTGGGATTTTTGGCTTAAGGAGTTAAGTAGTACTTTTTATTTATATAAATGTTACAATTCAGAATTACCGTGTAATATTTTAGCAGAACCTGAAAATTCAGCATGCTTGGAATATCGTTTTAGTTTTAGCTTTCATCTGTATTGCCCTAAGATGCTTTCTGAGCATTTGCGAATCTCCACAGATGTATGTTAATTAATATTTACATCAACAATTTATATTAATAAGTATTTATAGTAGTAAGTATAGACTTACTGATAAAGGTGATACAGAACTTAAAGACTGCTGTCACTTGTTCCTTTGGATAACTTCTCATTGTCTGAAACTAATTGGCAACCGATCTCTCGTTTTTTGCTTTTTTTAAAAATTTTTCCTCTTTCTCCCCAAAGCCCCTCGGTACACAGTTGTATATATTTTAGTTGTGGGTCCTTCTAGTTGTGGCATGTGGGACGCCATCTCAGCATGGCCTGATGAGTGGTACCGTGTCCACGCCCAGGATCCGAACCGGTGAAACCCTGGGCTGCTGAAGCGGAGCCCACAAACTTAACCACTCGGCCATGGGGCTGGCCCCTTGGTTTGTTTCTTAAATCCTTGTACTTGATGAGGATTATTTTACTTTTCCAGTTCTCTTTCATAGAGTTTTAGGAGGTGGTTGGGGAAATTTGTAGCATAGCTGCAATTTTGAGGAATTGACTTCAGTATAGATATATTTCTTCTACAAGGTTTACTAATGCTTCACAAGTAGGTCTAATTAATTCATTGTTAAGCACGACAGTATAAAAATGTTCAGTTACTAGTCCCTCCCTTTCCCCAGCTGTTAATCCATACACCCATAATACTTGTGCTTTTATGGTTATTTGAACTGGAAAGTATATAATGAAGAGAAGTTACGAATTTAGTACTGGAAAATGGTTGATATACTTGGAGGCATTATTCAGTCTGTCTACAGCTAGAGCTTGATGTACAAATGGATTCATGGACTCTTTGGTCCACAGGATGGGAAATCCTGGTATGCATTTGAACCAAGGAATATTTCTTTTAAGAGTAGCAGTTGTGTCTAGTTCACCTTAAAGAAGGTTCAGATTATGCAGATTTTATTGTTGCTTTTTATTATACCAATTAATTGAAGTATGAGTTATTAGATGGAGTTTGGAAATCTGTTACCTGTAAAATTAGACTTAAATTTACTTGGTTATATGAATGTATGTTAACTTAAAAGATATTTTGTAACGGTTTTATTTCAGTGTGCAATATTAACTCTCAGAACTGGTTGCTGTTAAATAATTTTATGTTCTTTTTGGGATGTTTTGACATCTGGAAGAAAAAGTGTACTTAGTGTTAATTTCATCTCAGTAATGCAAAATCACATAATTGAGCTGATGTTATCCTTACTCTTCCATTCCATTTACTGATTACCACAGGTACAAATGGCTCTCTCAGGTAATCCTCTCCAATAAATTTTAGCTTTCAGTTACCGAAAACAATATTCCTACCGAGTCTCTAATTCCCCATAGAGTGGATACTGTATACATCATTATCTAATACAATGAATGCACTTATCTCAAAACTCTTGAGCTTGGTTTTAGTATTGCTTAATTACCTAATTTTTGGAAGGGGTAGGCTATTTAATACCAGGCATGTTTGACAATGATTCTTTATTTTTTATGGTAGCTTTTTTGTTTGTTTTTCTGTCAGACATGGACATTTAAATATGTTTTACTGGCACGTTAGTTCCCTGAAGATTAACTAAGATAATGTAAGGTCACAAGCTGTTTAATTGAGCCTACAAACATATCAAAGTAAGACTTATCAAAGAAGCATGGATTTTTGAATATGACAATTTAAAATGAAATATTGAAATTACTTATAGAAGCCCTGGATGTGTTCATTATGTCATTTGTTCTTGTCATGATAAGTATTTGCTTGCTTGTTTTAATTTCCAATAGCGTGAGTAAGTTATTTATATTTCATTCCTGAGAAGCTAAAGGGAGAAACTGCCTAATGAGTATGAATATTGTCATTAAATCTCGATTGTCCGTTTTATGGATGCTTATATGATTATAGTTCCCCTCCCTTCAGCACTCTTGGACTGCTGTCAAATTTTGTGTCATATATGCACAAACTAAACTTAAAAAGCTAAACAAGATAAGTACAAGTTACCTGAGTTAGGAAAAAATACAGTTTCTGAGAGAGGAACAGACTTTAAAGCTAAATAGAAGCAGTATTTTTTTTGCTTTTTCTATTTGGTATACCACCTTTGCTCCTACCTCCTTCAGTAATAACAAGGACTACAGATAGGAATTGACTTAGCTTTACCAAGTTGATATTACTGATAATATTAGTGCACATACACGTTTAAGGTTTTAGAGAGAAGTGTCTTTCCCATGTCTAATTTGAGTGACCAGCCCAATCAGTTAGCTAGTTTTATTGCTGTGTTAACTTAAAATTCTAAATATAAAAGTCCATTATTAAAAGAAATGAATAGAATTAAGATAGAGAATTGATTAAAATAAAGCCTTTAAAAATTAATACTTTTGGATAAAGTAGCAGGCTTCAAGTGAAATTCAGTTTTGGTCTCCTTTACAGGAATAGCTATTCACAGTCAGAACACTTATCATGTTTTGCAGTATCTCCTGAGGAAGTCAGAATCTGAGCCAACATGAAGACTGACTCTTGTCTTTGGTCTGATTTATAAACTGTACTTTTATTCTAACCATGTGCAAGGTGGATGTTATAGCATGGAAACTAAAATCTTAGTAAGTGATTTTTAATTTAGCTATTAAATAGTAGCCTTTCTTATAATGAATTTGTCATCTTAACAGAGTTCACACTATGAATGGGGTGAGGATTTTGCAAGCAGGAACATAATCATATGCTTATCAAGTGAAATGAAAGATTTAGCTTTCCAAGTTCAGGAAGAATCCCCAAGAGAGGGAAAGCTTCTATTACTCTGCCTAGGATTCCTTTTACTTTCCTGTTTAAAAATAGGTTGTATGATGATATTAGTTTAGTTGAGAAGGGATTTGAGAAAGTGGAGGCTGACTTTAGAGGCCAATGTCTAAATTCAAGTCATTGAAAAAATCATTAGTAAATTTGCTATGTAATTGCTTTATTAATAAATTAGTTGTAATTAAATAATAAAGTCTTCATTATAGTAGTGTTTAATAAGCCCAGTGTAGAATCCTAGGAACCTTTTAAATAGTTCATATATTTTTAATGTAAATACAATTGTGAGTATATTTTAAATGTTGAATATTTTGAGTATGAATATTCAAAATTATATTCGCGTGATTATGCTAGTAGTTTTCTCAGGGACGTTCCTTTGGTTTGATTGTCCCAAGTATGAGTGATGTGCAGTGTTTATTTTTTGTCCTCCAGGCAGAACTAGATTTTGAGGATATAGGCTATCAGGGAACTTTTATCTCTATTTCACAGTGTTACTTCGTTAATTGTAAAGATTACTTCTCAATATCTTTCTTTTCTACCTGTGCTTATTAAGAGCAGTGGATAATTAGCACTTTTAAAAAAGCTGCTTTTCTCCCTTAGCAAGAATAACAGAATTGACTTTGATCTTCTGAATTCTTTAGTGAATAAGACGTTATGATACTCTACCTAGGTAGGCTAATAATCTATATTGTTCATAACTTGAGAATGGTTATGTAAGATATTTGGTTTGTGTTCTTTCCCTTCCCTTTGAATTTTTTAAGTATTAGTTATTTTTCTAAATTGATGGTGATGACTTGGCTGAAATTAAACATTTCTGTTAGCAGCTTCCCTATTTAACCTCCTTTTCTCTTAGAACAGACTTGCCTTTCTCTTCTGCCTATCTGTTTTGCATTCCAAAGTACAATTTCATTAAATCTCTAGGTCTAAGATTTTGCTTTGGAAATTTATCTCTGGTGTCTCTTTGGAAATTAAAAAAAAAATAAGGATAGTTCAGTATGAAATCTTACGTGTATCTTTTGAGAAATTTGTATTTTGTAAGTTGAAGGGTACTTTTATTTGGGGGGCGTATTTTCAGAGATAGAATTATATAGTTATTGTTTAATAACCATGTCCTAATTGTTTATAGCTTCCTGCCTGACATAACACACTTCAAGAAGTGCACAATGTCAGAACGTGGAATTAAGTGGGCCTGTGAATACTGTACGTATGAAAACTGGCCGTCTGCAATCAAGTGTACTATGTGTCGTGCTCAAAGACCTAGTGGAACAATTATTACAGAAGATCCATTCAAAAGTGGTTCAAGTGATGTTGGTAGAGATTGGGATCCTTCCAGCACTGAAGGAGGAAGTAGTCCTTTGATATGTCCAGACTCAAGTGCAAGACCGAGGGTTAAATCTTCATACAGCATGGAAAATGCAAATAAATGGTCGTGCCACATGTGTACATATTTGAACTGGCCAAGAGCAATCAGATGTACCCAGTGCTTATCCCAACGTAGGACCAGGAGTCCCACGGAATCTCCTCAATCCTCAGGATCTGGCTCAAGACCAGTTGCTTTTTCTGTTGATCCTTGTGAGGAATACAATGATAGAAATAAACTGAACACAAGGACCCAGCATTGGACATGTTCTATTTGCACGTATGAAAACTGGGCCAAGGCTAAAAAATGTGTTGTTTGTGATCATCCCAGACCTAATAATATTGAAGCAATAGAGTTGGCAGAGACTGAAGAGGCCTCTTCAATAATAAATGAGCAAGACAGAGCTCGATGGAGGGGAAGCTGCAGCAGCGGTAATAGCCAAAGAAGATCGCCTCCTACTACGAAACGGGACTCTGAAATGAAAATGGATTTTCAGAGGATTGAATTGGCTGGTGCTGTTGGCAGCAAGGAGGAACTTGAAGTGGACTTCAAAAAACTAAAGCAAATTAAAAACAGGATGAAAAAGACTGATTGGCTGTTCCTCAATGCTTGTGTGGGTAAGTTTCTACATTTTTTAAATGGGATGGGAAAATATATTAAAAATGGCATGAAAGATCTAAGCAGGGTCAATATTATTTAGCCTTTAGTACATTCAGCATGCTAGCTGTACTCCCAGTATGCATGCATAAGAATCTCTGTATTTGTGATCTTGTCATAACGTTGTCCTCACTTGCCTCCATTTCATTCTGTATGTCTCTCTCCATCATTAGGGAGGAAAACTTTTTAAGTTAAAGCAGAGTTTTTTTACACTTCAGTAGTAAAATATACACCTGGAGTTTAAAACTGTTACTCTATTATAACAAGATGTGCCTGAGGAACACCAGCTGCTGCTTCAGAATGTCTGTAAACAGTGTGAGCATCTTGTGATGATAGAAGCTTTAGTCAGATGTTAAAAATATCACAAAAATGTGTGACTCCAAGAAGTTGAACAAACATGATATTGACCTTGAAAATACCAATGTTAATGTAACATGAACGTCATGTAGTAAATAATTGCAAAGTTTAAGAAGCTGATTTCACAGTTCAATTATGATCTGTGTTTTGTGGTTTTAGTGCTTTCCTAAGGAAATTCTGGATATTGATCCCAGTTATTGGCTCAGAGCTGTTAAAGGACAGAGACATGTTCTGAGAGTAGGGTTTTCTCCAGTTGTTGACCTTGTGAGTTAATTATTTGTGATGTAATTCACAAAAGCAGTTATTTGACTTTTCTGTATATTCTTTTCTTCTTTTTTTGAGTAGTTTAGCTATTTGAATTTTATGATTTAAATTATTTGGATGGAGTGCTTACTTTGGCATTTGTTTTGTAAAGGAAAGTTGAGTTACTACTAAAGTTAAATATTATGTGGAACAGTAGCTAAGTCTTAAACATGGCTTAGCTGTATATATATATATTTTTCCCTAGTACTGATTTCTTTTGTTTATCTCCTTGAATATAGTCCCAAGACTATGTAAGACAAAACTGTAAGGACCTGCAAGTCCTAAGAGTAGATGTTAGGAAATGTGAGTTTTTTATTTTAGTTTTGTCCTGGCAAAAAACAATGTCCCAGCAGATAAGCCCTTCTGAACACCAGACTTAGAAGGTACCTAGTAACTGTTAGCTCCGGTTTTCTCCTGTCCTGAGGACTAGGGATGAAAGCATACTGAGCCATTTTCTATCTCTGTTGTCCCATTTTATCCCGTGGTTTTTTTCCTTCCCCAAATTGGGGTACCACATATGGTGTGTGATTATCTTTTTTTTTCCCTCCTGGAGATAAAAAGCGTTATTATTTATTATTTATTTTTCTTTTTGACGCCAAATTCATGTAACTTAAAATTCACCATTTTGAAAGCGAACAATTCAGTAGCATTTAGTACCTTCACAGTATTATGCAGCCACCACCTCTGTCTAGTTCCAAAATATTTTCATCACCCTAGAAGGAAACCCAGTTCTCATTAAGCAGTTTTTCCACATCCCCTCCTTTCCACAGTCCCTGATAATCGCCAGTCTGCTTTCTGTCTCTATGGATTTACCTCTTCTGGATATTCATATAAATGGAATCTTACATTACGTGACTTTTTGTATCTAGGCATGGTTGTTTTTTAATTACCTGTATACCTTTTGGAACGTTCTTAAAATCCTTTTTGCAGGCAGTAGTGTACCATGCATGCATTTACTACAAGGTGGTCTTATAGGACACGTAAGTTTATAGGTGGAAATGGACTACATTGGAACAATTCTTAACCTCTTTTGGGGTCATAGAATCCTTTAGGAATCAGAGGTTCGTTGTTTCTTCAAGTTAGTGGGTCTCAGGATAAGAACTCCTGCTTTGAAATATTTTCTCCTCTTAAAACACACAAGTTAGACCAATCAGTATAACTTTATCTTTATGGCTATTATTTCCTGTCTTTGTAAGTACTCTGTCTTTTTGGTGCTGCCTTTTCTTTCCACATTTTCTTCTTTCTTTTGATCCTTGTACTTCGCATTCTGATAGCTGTGAGTTCATTTTAAAGGTGGAACAAAAACTCCTACGAGCAAGACTAATACTGGATTTGGTCTTGTTTCATTTACAAAACAGTTTCTTTGTCCTTAAGTTCCTGTTCCCACCCAATCCAGAGGTTCTAGGTTCTTAGAGCCAAGGATTGATTGTATTTGCTTCTTAGTAATGTGGATTCTCTCTTTCCTGTCAGCAAATATTTTTTGCCTGTTCACTACACGATGTGGTTCTGAACTGTTGTACAAAAGATTATGGCCCTATCTTTATTGGGTAGTCATATCCTGATTTGTAAACATAACTGAAGTATGTTAAAACTTTTTTTACTTGTTTACATTGTGTTGGGTTAATTACCAGAAGTCCACATGTAATGAAAATTAATCTTTATTTCCCCTTTTCTGCCTGCCTTATGTTCTCCAGATTTCATTAGAGATGACATATTATAGCTTGTTGACGTTAGGCATTTAAAAAAATCATCTAAGTGCTCGCTTTGGCAGCACGTGTATTAAAAAAAATCATTTCCAAAATATATATGCTCAGTATAAAATGTGTACTGCGTATAAAATTTATATTAAGTATAAAACGTGAGACTTTCTCATTTAAAATTGGAAAAAAAAATCTCAACCTCAGGCCAGCTTTGTAGCTGGTAAAATAGGAATGAGGAAGATTCCGTTGTTGAGAAGGCAAGAGTAAACTAAAGCAGCATCAGTATTGAGCAAGACTCTTTTAAATGACTGTTGGGTGTAAGTTTCACATAAGCCTTGTTATCTTGGGTGGTGAGAGGATGTTGGGGACAGCAATGCCAAAACCTGACATCAGTAAAAGTGGAATTTGGGAGTGGGAGCTGCGATGGTAAAGGCAGAGGTGTGAATTTAAGTGTGCAGTTGTCTCTGGAATGTCTGCAGTTTGGTGCCAGGTATTTTCTGGGAGGACATGTTGGTGCTAAGCATAGACTGCCTTTCCCACTGGATAGATAATAATGTCTCTAGAGAATAGGGCAGCACTACCTAGCGCACCATTTTAGTTCTGCTATTGTGTTGAATCAGTGGTCTTTTAAAAGAACATCTAAATTTGTGACCCAAGTTGATCCCTTGAAAAGACACAGGATCAGAGTCGAGTCCTAAATTAAATCTGTGTAACAACTTCTTGTATTCCTGAACCCTAGACTTATATAGCTACCTGCTTATGCAACATCTTCTTTTGAATATCTAATATTTAAAAAGCTCATTTCAAACTCAGTGAGGCTAAAACTGAACTGGTCTCTCCCTCAAATCTGTTCTCTCACAGTCCCCCATCTCGGTTGATGACAAGTTCTTCGTTCCATTTGCTGTTCCAAAAGCGTTGGTCATCCTTGAGCCTCCTCTTTTTCTCTTATACCCCATTCCTATATGTCAGAAAATCTTATTGACTCTACCTTTAAAATATATCCAGAATCTCGCCACTTCTCGCCACCCTGGTCCAAACCACCTGATCTCTTTGCCCTTGTCCTCCTTTACAAACTGTTCTCCACATAGAAGCTACTCTTTTAAAACTCTGCTCAGAACCCTCCAGTGATTCTCTGTGTTGCTCAGAGTAAAAGCCAGTCTCTTAAAGACTCTTTAGGCTCTCTGTTCCTGCACCTCTCTGCCCCCATAAACACTGTTTCCCTCTGACCTCGTCTATTGCTCTCAACCTCGCTCATTCATTCCAGCCGGTCTAGCTACCTTTCTTGTCTACAAGTGAGCCTTAAAGCCTCTGTTCTTACTGTTTCCTCTGCCTGCATTTCTCTTTCTCTAGGTTGCAGGAAAGCTGATTTACTTGTTCAGTTTTTCTCAATGTTGCCTTTCCCAGTGAGGCCTCCCTGACTGCTGTATCTAACGTTGTAGCCCTGTCCTGTAACCCTGCCCCCAGCTCTAATTTTCTTCACAACGCTTGTCACCTTCTAATACACTTGGTCACCTTATTATTTGTCTCTCTCTTCCTTAGAATTTAAGCTTCATGAGGGCCAGGAATTTTGTCACTTGTTTACAGCTATATCCTAGTACCTAACACAGTGCTTTAAATATTCAAATATTTGTTAAATCAATTGGTGAATAAATCTTCCTGGAAACTGGGATTTGAACAGGTAGACCTTTCTGCTCCTCTCCTGAATTTCTAGACTTTTTGCTTTCTGTATGTTTTTACTTTACAGACTACCTGGGGCTCGACCCCGTGGGAGCCATCTTGACTTCTCCTTGTCAGGGGAAGAGAGAGGAAGTAGGTATCATAGGGTTTTGTTGGAAAGAGTAGAGAGGCCTCAATTTATCACCAGGCAGTCTATGGATATGGAAAGCCTGAAGTCAGATTTCTTGACGTTTAATTTCTCTATCTTCCTACCTTCACTGATGAATATTTGATAATTTGATGAATATATGTTATAAAGAAAAAAAATCATCGTCTGTGTTTGCTATACCTACCGTCCTAAATCAAATAAACTTTTTACTTGAAAATTTTTTATTCAGTTGTCATTGGATCTAATGCTTCCTATTTGGCATTTTGTCTCACATCTTAAATAGCAGCTGCATCTGTCTTCCATTTAGCTTGTTCAGTGACCCTGCTAATGGAGATGGGAAAGATTTGAGATTGGTGGGGGTGGTGGTGGTAAAGGCATAGGGGGAAAAGAGTCAAGCTTGTATAACAGCTACATGTTGAAACTGGAATTTTTTTTGCTGAAGTGTTCAGTTGTCCCATGGCAGTGGCGTTATAGAGAACACGTGCATCAAAATATCTTCTGTTGCTCCCCAGCTTTCGGGCGACCTGTAGTGTGCACTGGTGCCCCTGTTGAGAATCACTGACTTACGGGGTAAACTAGAATCTTCTTATGAATGAGCATGCTGAAATGGAATCCTGAGGATTGTAGTCTTGATTATTCCTGAGTAAAATTTTGATGTGTCTAAAAAGTTGTATGATTCTTAAAACACAGAAAAATATTAGAATTAACTTTTAAGTTGTCTGCAAAAATATTGTTATATATATATATTTTTAAAGATTTTATTTTTTCCTTTTTC